CCCCCAACACGGCCTGGCCCCCTAAGGCCAACATTTACCACAATCAAATGTAATTCTGAATGTTCAGAGACTGTGACGCATTTGCTCTTACGATGATGTCAAAGACACACACACACACAAAATTTGTTGAGCCAGTATCATCATATTCCCAATCCCTTTCTGTAGCAGTCAGAGGCATAAAAAGAAGTATTCACGTAAAAATATAGGCTATTCGAGTTTTTTCTTTCTTAAAAATTTTAAAGAGAGGTGAAGTTTTATAGTGGGGATCACGTGGTACGATCGAGTCACTTATGCTCAACTGTGGGAGAGAACAAGCCAAAGGCCAGTAAAGGAAGACATACAGGTGAAGAAATGGAAATGGATTGGACACACCCTTAGGAGACCCCCGTTAAGCATCACCAGACAGGCTTTAATAACATGGAACCCACAAGGAAAACGAAAGAAGGGAAGACCAAAGATGACATGGAGGCGAGCGGTACAAGCGGGAATTGAAGAAGTGGGGACATCATGGAAACAGATAGAAAAGGATGCTCAGGACAGGCTTCGCTGGAGTAATGCTGTTGATGGCCTGTGCTCCACTGGGAGTTAAAAAGGGTCATACATGAGTGCCTGGAACACAAGTTGGTTGCATTCAGAACAGTTCAAAAAGCAGGGCTAGGTTTTGGTCAATGATTAGATTAGACTAAAATGTTAATTTTTTTTTACGGTGTTAATTAAAACGTTTACATCCCATGAGGTGGGACAAACACATCTATTTTAAAAACTAGCCCGCCCTCTCGACCTAATCACGATACAATGCATGATGAGAGCATGTTTTGAGAACCTTTAGTACTGGTACATAAAAAGTGTTACTATAAAACTATTTTTTTGAACAAGTTTTGTCACTAAAGAGAAAAAAAATACGTGTTTGAAGCAGGAAATGCTGTGAATAATCCCATTTTCTGCGTGACGGAGATTTGCAGTGTTTTTTTAAATACAATAAATACGATTAACAGTTTTTCAATCTAGCATCAATGGTTGTGGAAAATATTGTGATTAAGTTACGACACACTGCTCTGCTAAGCATGGGTGACATTGATGCACGTGTTAATGAGGTATTTGAGGAGGATCAGTTGCGCCACGAATTTTTAACCGCGCTGTACTCAAAGGTATCGAAGAAGCGACCCCCGCGCTTGTTAATTTTCAGGGTTTTTTGGGCCCC